ATACCATGGAGAAAAGATAGTCTGTTCAATAAATGCTGTTGGGAAAACTGGACAGCCACATGCAAAACAATGAAAGTGGACCATTATCTCACACCATACACAAAAATAAACTCAAAATGGATCAAAGACTTGAAGATAAGTCCTGAAACCATAAAACTCCTGGAAGATAATATAGGTAGTACACTCTTTGACACTGAACTTTCAAGGATCTTTTTGAATACCATGTCTTCTCAGACAAGGGAAATAACAGAAAAAATAAACAAGTGGGAGTTCATCAGACTAATGAGCTTCTGTAAGGCAAAAGAAACTAGGATCAAAACCAAAAGACAACCCACCAACTGGGAGAAAATATTTGCAAATCATCTATCTGACAAGCAGTTAATCTCCATAATATATAAGGAACTCACACAACTGAACAACAAAACAACAAACAGCCTGATCAAAAAAACAGGCAGAGGATATGAACAGACATTTTTCCAAAGAAGATATACAGATGGCCAATAAACACATGAAATGATGTTCAACATCACTAATCATCAGGGAAATGCAAATCAAAACTACACTAAGATACTACCTTATGCCTGTTAAAGTAGCTATAATCACTAAGACTAAAAATAATAAACATTGGAGAGGGTGTGGAGAGAAGGGAACCCTCATACACTGCTGGTGGGAATGCAAACTGGTGCAGTCACTATGGAAACAGTATAGAGATTCCTCAAAAGACTAAAAATAGAACTACCATATGACCCAGCTATCCCACTACTGGGTATCTACCCAAACAACTTGAAATCAACAATCCAAAGTAACATATGTATCCCTACATTCATTGCAGCACTATTCACAATAGCCAAGACATGGAAACTACCCAAGTGCCCACTGACTGATGATTGGATAAAGATGATGTGGTATATACATACAATGGAATACCAGTCAGCCTGAAAAAAAGACAAATTCATCCCATTTGCAACAACACTGAAAGACCTAGAGGGAATTATGCTTAGTGAAATAAGCCAGACTGAGAAAGACCAACACCAGATGATTTCACTCACATGTGAAATAAAAACAAGCACATGGACAAAGAAAACAGTTCAGTGGTTACCAGGGGAAGGGGTTGAGGGGTGGGCACAGGGGGTGAAGGGGAGCACCTATGTGGTAACAGACAAGAAATAATGTACAACTGAAATTTCACAAAGATGTAAACTATTATGAACTCAAATAATAAAAAATTTTTTTAAAATTAATAAAAAGACATGGAAACTTCTACAAGTGACCAGCTCTTGAAATTCAAATAATCATTTTCATTTACAAAGAAACACACTTTCTTGGTTAAAAAAAAAAACGGTTAGAAGATCTGAGTAAGACATCTTTCCAAAGAAGACATACAGATGGCCAACAGGTACATGAAAAAATGCTCATCATCATTAATCATCAGGGAACGCAAATCAAAACCACAATGAGGGGCTGGCCCCATGGCCGAGTGGTTGAGTTCACGCACTCCGCTGCAGGCTGCCCAGTGTTTCGTTGGTTCAAATCCTGGGCGTGGACATGGCACTGCTTGTCAAACCACGCTGAGGCGGCATCCCACATACCACAACTAGAAGGACCCACAACGAAGAATATACAACTACGTACCGGGGGGCTTTGGGGAGAAAAATGAAAAAATGAAAAAATCTTTAAAAAAAAAACAAAAACCACAATGAGATATCATGAACACCTGTTAGAATGGCTACTATCAATAAAATGAGAGATTACAAATGTTGGCGAGGATGCAGAGACAAAGGAACCTTTGTGAACTGCTGACAGAATGTAAATTGTTGCAGCCACCATGGAAAACAGTATGGAGGCTCCTCAAAAAATCAAAATAGAACTACCATACGATCCAGCAATTTCAGTTCTGGGTATTTATTCAAAGAAAATGAAAATATTAACTTGAAAAGATATATATATATGTACTCCCACGTTCATTACACATTATTTACAATAGCCCAGATAAGAAAACAACCTAAGTGCCCATCAATAGATGAATGGATAAAGAAATTGTGATATATATACACGATAGAATATTATTCAGCCATAAAAATGAATGAAATCTTGCCATTTGTGATAACCTGGATGGACCTTGAGGGCATTATGCTAAGTGAAATAAGCAAGACAGAGAAAGAAAAATACTGCATGATCTCTCTTATATGTGGAATCCGAAACAAAACAAAACAAAGCAAAACAAAACTAAGCTCATGGATACAAAGAACAGATTGGTGGTTGCCAGAGGTGGGGGCGGGGAGGTGAGGAATGGGAAAAATGGGTGAAGGGGGTCAAAGGTAAAAAGAAAAAAAAAGAAAAGCAAGGGAGTTGTGTCTCATAAACATTTTTTTCTTTGTAGCTTTCTCTGATGTGGATGATACCCCTAACATTTATGGAAAAAAAAAAAAAAGAATGCAAGGATATTTCACAGAAAGCTGATAATACTAGACTCGGTAAACCAGGATTTCTTATCCTTGGCATTATTCACTTTTTGGCTCAAATAATTCTTTGTTGTGGAGCTGTACTGTACCTTATAGGATATTTAGCAGGCCTCGGGTTTAGCAGGCTCCCTAGCCTCTATCCACTAGATGCCAGCAGCATGCCCACTGTTATGACAACCAAAAATGTCTCAGACATTACCAATGTCCCCTAGGGGACAAAACTGCCTCCAGTTAAGAACCACTGCTATGAACTAAAGAGTCCACCAAGTGCCCAGTACAATGGATAAAAATATGACAATATCAAGGCACATTACTGGGAAACTTTAGAATACTGAGGACAAAGAAAATAGCCTATACATTTCTAGAACGAAAAAAGCAGCTCACGTACAAGGGATCAGGACTCAGAATGGCACTGAACTTTTAAAGAGAAACACCAGGGGAGTAATATTTTCAAAATTCTAAAGGAATATAATTTTCAACCTAGTAATAGAAATACCCAGCCAAATCAAGCATAAGGGTAAACAAAAGATATTTTTAGACCATGTAAGTTTCAAATTTATCTCTAATATATCATTTCTCAGGAAGCTATAGGAGGAGATGCTCTGCCCAAAAGAGAGAGTGAATCAACAGGAAGATGTGGGATAAGATGTTTAAAAAGAAATTCCTACCCAGGAGAGTGAAGGGAACGCCCAGGATGAGAACTGAAGAGACTGTTAAGGATGACATTTGTGCCCCAGAAACAGAGGCATCCAGTCTGGAACAGAACAGGTCTGTAGGATCCAAGAGAGATTTTTTCAGGAAGATGGAAACTGATAGAATACTTGATTTATGTATTATGATAAGCACATTTTTAAAAGACCAAATAAACAAAATTGTAAGTTAATTAACTCCACAAACAATAAAAAATTGCACAGGAAAAAAGTAACTTAATTTACTCCATGATTCAGCTGTGGGGGAAAATGATGATTTAATCATTCAATACATATTAGGAAGATGAGGAATGGGCAGTGTATGTATTTGAAGCGGGGCAGGGGTAGAAAATCTTCATCTTCCATGGGCAAAAAAAATCAATAAACTATGCTTGAAAAAACAAAAAGCAGTAATACAAGCCTATTGTTAGAGACTTTAGATAAATACAAAAATTGACCAATAAGAGATGAATGTTTGCCTCTGAAGAGAGATGTTGGGGAGGGAACTGGCTGGTGCTGCTTATATAAGAACTTATAGTTGTATTTGACTCTTAACCACACATATGCATAAACTTAATAAAAGCCAAAAAAAAAAGAAAAAGAAAAAACAAAGAAATATATGTCAGTAATATCTCAAGAAAGCTGGGGAAAAAAGAAGAAAAAAAGAGGAATGTTCACAGTGAACTCATTCAACAGATACTTCCTATCTTTTCTCTTCCCCTAAAATGAGTAAATTCCAATCCTGCAACAAAGAAAGAAAGAGAAGTGCTCTAAGTAAATACCCCCTTTTACCCATTTCAAAACTATCTTTAATTACTCTCAGTATATCATTAAATAAGTCTTTTATTTTAAACATCAAGAAATAACTGAAGTACCGAAGTTAGGGATTACAATCCACATTTTCATTGGTGGCTATAATCTTGGGTAGGTCACTGTTTAGCACATGAGAGAGATTTTCCAAAATTAATGCAAATTCTAAAGGGCAGTATTGAACTGAATTGTAGATATTTGATCAATCCTTCTTTATTAATCTTTCTCTCTTATTTTGGTTTAAAAATATGGGATGGGGTACATGGTGGGGACAGACGAAGAGTCATATAGAAACTATTCAAGAAAGTAGGCTATTTTCCAGGATGCTTAATACGAACTCAACACATAGCACATAAACTTGTTTAGGGTTTACAACTTCAGAAAAGTAATATATTCAGTTAAATAATTTTCAATACAGTGATTTACATATAAATTCTGGGTTGCTTCACAAGGCTGGATTAAAATTAGTGGATGGAAGAGGCTGCTGGGATATGTTTGCATTATTTTCATTTAAAATAATATGAAAAACTACAAAAAGGCACAGAAAGGGCACTAAAGAGTATGACTGAGGGATGTGTGTGTGTATGAAATGTGAGTTCCATAGATATGAGTTATTTTCTTTGGTACAATTTAAAACTCTAGGAAGTATCCTTTACATAATAGCTAGGCAGAGAACTGTCTCATTTCTTTAATAGTTTAGGTAAAAGTTATGCTAACTACAGGCAAAAGGCTAGTGTAAAACAGACTTAATAAGTTAAACAGGACAAAGAAGAAACATAAGCACATATTACCAAAACTTTTAAACTCTTCCCTAACATGAGACTTCATTTCTAGTTGATACTAAAAAAACTGTTTTCTAAAGTTTCAACACTAATTCAACTTACATTTATCTAAATGTTAGATATAACATTCTATATTAAGATTAATTTTACTTTGTTTTCCTTGAAGCGCTGTTCTGCATGTTTGAATTTCTAAGCAACTCTCAGAGTTTGAAACTTCTATGATTTCTAGTAGAGCAACCAAGAGTTACGTAACTTACTTAAACACAAGTGTTGAATATCAATTTGAAGTCTTTCAAACACTGAATTTTTCTTTCTGTGTTTGCCATCCACCTGAACAAATAGACCGTAAACATAACAATGACTTTTTACGTTAACAGTTTTATGAAAATAAAAAGATTTCTCTTTTTCAAAATTCAGAATAAGGTTTCCACCTTATTTTTTAGTATTTAAAAAACAGAATCATTAATATAACAATTTAAGATCGTATATTCTTTGATGAAAACTCTGAAATAACAATACCATTTTTATAAGGCTTAAAAATTTTATAAATTATTATGTATACATTATTTCCTTTATTTATATTTCCCTAATATACTATTTTTGGCTTGCTCCTCTTATTGTCCCTGAAAGATAATAACCTGTGGGATCTATATCCACGTGCCTATGATTTATAAATCTACATGTGGCCCAGACTTCTCTGATGCGCATCAGACACATATCCAACCGTGAAGTAGAAAGCTCTACTTCAACAGCAAAACTCATTCAGAACTGAACTCATTATTTTTCCCTCCAAACCTATTCTTCCTCTTCCTCCTTGTATATTCCCACTCTCAAGGAAGAGCAGCACTTAGTCACATATGCCATAAAATATCTCTTTATGGCTCTGAAATAACTCTTTCTCTCTCATACTTAATGAATAATAAATCACCAAGTCTCACAGCTTCCAACATCTTAACATCTCTCATACTCTTCCCCTCCTCTCCATCCCACCACAATAGCCTTAGCTCTGGGCCATTTCTTACTTGAATTATTGGATAATAATTATCTTATTATTAATCTCCCTACTTCAACTTTCAGACTCTTCTGATATACCTTTAACGGTACTGCTAAGATGAACTTTTAAAAACCCCTTTTTACTTTACCAACTCTTACATACTTTCAATTTCCTCTCAGTTGTCATTTCCTCTGGGAAACCTTCTGTGACCTACACTAGAATGAGGTCAGTCAGTGTTCTACCTTCATGCTCCCACAGTATCTGGTACTTACCATTATCATAAGACACTTAACATACTGAATCAAAGTACTTATAAATCGGCCCCAATAGATGTAAGCTTCTTGAAGACTGGAACTAAATCTTGCTTGCACTCTCTCCCCAGCATGAAGCAAGATAAACTCCTTCCTTAGCATAAAATATGAGACGTTCCACGGTTTAGCCCTCTTCTCCTGTCTCATCACTGTTGAACTCTACTTTGCACCCAGAAATGTTTCCACATTGTTTCAGGCGTTTGGTTACACTGTTCTAGTTTCCTAGAATGCTTCTCAAATTCTCTTTCTAGCAAATACCAAATCACTTCTCAAGATACAGCTCAAGGACCACCTTTTCTGTGTTGCCATTTGCCATCCCTTACTTGCATTAAAACTTGTCACTTCCTTTGTTGAACCCATACTGTACTCTGTGCAGACGTTTTTTCAGATTTTAACACTTTTCTATAAATATTTATCTATGTGTCTGTCTCTCCTTCTTAAATATAAGTAATAGAGCACAGGGACTTGTTTTATTTGATAGATAATCCAATGTCTATCATGGTGCCTGGCGGTACGCTCAATAAACATTTACTGAATGAATAGTTACTAAGTGGCAGAGGCAGGTTAGCACCCAAGACTTTTAACTCCTAGCTTGAGTTTGGCTCTTTTCACATATTTTCTTGTCTCTAAAAACAATTTTAAGAACTCAGATCAACAGACTATCAAAATTTAGATTAAAAAATTTGCTTCCAGGGGCTAGCCCCGTGGCCGAGTGGTTAAGTTCACACGCTCCACTTCAGTGGCCCAGGGTTTCGCCGGTTTGGATCCTGGGCGCGGACATGGCACCACTCATCAGGCCAGGCTAAGGCGGCATCCCACATGCCACAACTAGAAGGACCCACAACTACAAATATACAACCATGTACTGGGGGCTTTGGGGAAAAAAAGAAGAAAATAAAATCTTTAAAAAAATTTGCTTCCAGTTTTAAGTCATCAATACTATTAGAATAAAAAGCTCTAATTAAGTAAACACACAAAAAATTCATTTTATTTAAGAGACATAGTTCTGAGTATCTTTTTTCAAACAAGAAAAGTGAAAACAAAGTTTGGTTACTAATATACTACAATGGTTTCACTTACCTTGAATCTTGTGGTCACCTTTTCTACTAGGATGAAGTGAACTTTTTCAGCATCTTTTAAGGCAATATCAACCCAATGAGATAATTTTCCCTTTCCTGCTCCAAACTCAACAAAGCATCTTCTTGGACCAAGTAACTTTAATTTTTCAATGTTACCTAAAATAGAAGCCTGCAAACTTCACAAGATTATTTTATACACTAGAACAAACACATTTAGCTCTAATGGGAAAATAGTAAGGTAATTTCTACGTAAGGCAGCATGTTCACATTGATAATCTCTGTTTGGCTTTAAATTTTTTCTCTTGCTTTTAAATATTTAACACGAAGTACTCAGAACCATACCCATGCCAGAAATTTTTTATATATGTTTATACATTTTTTTTAAATGGAAAGATTCTATGCCCTGAAAGATAAACTAAGCAAAGTCTCATTAATAACTATATTCAGAAAGAACAGAACGTTAGTTTTTGACAAACGAACAAAAGGCCATTTTTAGTAGAGTTACTATCACCTAAACATACCTGCTGTTTCAGGTGTTTGGTTGCAGAATCACCATTTTTAGGGTCATTAAGGGCATCATGCAATGCTGGATGGGACATAATTTGATCTTTAAGTGTAGAGTTCAAACCTGTGCCAAACATAAGCACAACAGCTTAAGCAACCAAACATGAAACCATAGGGCTCTCAACAGTGGTAGTAACATCTTTTAAATCACACTGGTGTCAACTCATAACCACCTAATTACTCCAAAAAAAATTTAACTTGTAACTTTAGGCAGACTTACCTTCACTTGCTTTTCTCAATTTCTTAATTAAATTTTCCAACTGCTCTTCAGAGAGAGAAGAAACTGGAACCTATTTACAAAAATGGGACATGAGAGCTCGTCTTGGAACTAACCATCACTGATAATATTGATTCTATAGGAAAATGCATTCTAAATTCAAAACAAATGATTTATTCCAAACAAAAATTGGAACACAGCTTATTCATGATATGGAGATAGCTCATAAATACCTTTTAAAATTAAATATTAAGTACTTACTAACTGTTCAGGTATTTCCGTCTCATCTTTTAAGCCTGCATTAATATCTTGAATAAAGAAGTCCTTAACAAAAAAAACACAAAACCATAACAATACTGTTATTAATTTGAAGACCTCACAAAAATTAAGCTGAAAAACTGATCCTTTCCTTCTTCCCATACTCTGTACCTGCCATCCTCCCTTCTTCCCATTCCTTTAATCATTAAATAATTATTGAGTACCTACTTAATTTGCTTTACATGCTGAGGATTCACCACAGCTGAGAACGGAACAGACAAAATCTCTGTGTTCAAGGATCTTATATTCTAGTAAGGTGGTTATCTAAATAAATGTTTAGTCTAAAGAAATTCATTAGTAATTCTCATTAAAGTTTTTACCTGTCTACAACACAAACTGAGGACTGTGACAGTTTTGTTTATGGCGTTAAAGCAAAAACGACACAGTACACACACGGCTTATTTATCAGACAGGCAGCATGACCAAAAACTGAGATAAAGTATACATATTAAAACAGTTTAGGTCTGATTTCTCCTATTTTAAAATGCTAATTAAAACTGCAAATAGAAGCGTCCTGTGACACTGTGTCGTTTAAACTGACACAGTGAGATCTTTCTAGTCCACCTTCAAAGACAGATTCTAGGTACAGGTCTAGATCAGCACTGTCCAAAAGAACTCCTGCAATGATGGAAATGTTCTCTATCTGCCCTGGCCAACGTGGTAGGCACCAGCCTTGAAATACAGTTAGTGTGAGTGAGGAACTGGATTTTCAATTTTATTTCATTTAACTCAGATTTAAATAGTTACACATAGCTAGTGCCTACCATACTGGACCATGCAGATGTAGACAAATGAAATAGCACTATTTCTATAAATCCTGTTTTAAGAGTGAAAACAACTCCCGGGACATTATGAATAGTAATGGGCTTTTGTTATACAGATGGAAGAAAGGTAACATGTTGATTGTATGTCGCTACCTTTCTATACGGATAATAATGGAAAGAGGTGACTGAGAGGAATAAGTGAAGACTACGGGTATTATAATGCTTTGTTGGGTGTCTGGCAAAACTAGAACAGGAAATTAGCAGTAACTATTATAATCTGATATGTTCTTAGTTTACCAAGGTTGCAAAGAATGCTCCAGGTAACTCGTGGACTAGATTTTTAAATGTGAAAACAATTTATATCGGAGAAACTTATCACCAACTTAGTTTTATTTGCTTTATAAAACTTTAAAAAACTCATGAAGAGTTGTACAAAGTAAAGCAATGGTGATAAGACTTTACCTGGGTTCCAAGTTTCATATTCTACAGTGTTCTAAATAAATACTGCTTTGCATTCATCCCACTGCTTTTCTCCCTTTCCTTTCCACTGTGTCCTGGTATGCAATGGAACCTGTGTAGCGGTATTTTATTTTTAATAAATTCATCTAGTCTCTCAAAGTTTTTCCAGAACACATATTCCACTTGCTAGCTTCAAATAAAACTTGGCACTCAGGTAAAGACGATAACTTCTATGCATACTTGAAAGTAAAGGCAAAATTTTCTTTTTGCTAAGGGGCTAAGTGGGGGCGGTCATCATTTTTCTTCTACACATCTTAAAATAAAAGTACTTTCTTTTAAGTTTATGCCATTCGGCCTAGTGCTTCTCAATTGGGATGCATGTGAAAATGTATGAGGATATTTAGTTGTCAAAATGAGTGAGAGATGCTATTGGGAGACAATTCTCCAGGAGTCTCAATTTTCTGCAAGTCTTACAAGCAGAGGCACTGACTACCTTTGTTCCAGACTATCTTTTCAAGGATGTTTGTATGCCAAGCAACCTTAGAAGACAGAAATAGTGTCTTCTAGAGTAGACGGCAGGCCTACTTATTGTACAGTATAATAAAGAAACGTCTACTTATGGAACAAAAGTCAGGCAGGTTTCCTTACCGCCCATTTTAAAAGATTTGTATTTCCTAAGCTTGTCTTCAGCTATGACACAAGATATGCAGAAACATGCAGTATCTGTCTAGGCCCCTCTGTGCTGACTCCACGGGCCTTGGGGAACAAGGGGAATTGATGCAGACAAGAAGCTTATTAAGTAAACTCACTGCTTGCTTTGCAGTGAGTAATAAATAAAGTCCCTGGTCTCTGACCTAGGAGTCTCATATCTTCTGCCAGCATCCATCAAACTGTGGCAGGATAACTTGGTAGCTTGAAACTAAGATTAACTTTTAGATCCTTCTACCTCTATTTTGTTCTTCGACATTTGCCATTTGGTGTTCAGAAGCCAGGAATGCTAAATACAGGGATGCTTTGAAATGCACAGGACAGGACTGTCCCACCCCAAATGCCAAAAATTCCCAATGGGAAATACCAGCTGTTAAATCATCTTCTAAATCTCCCAGTGGTTGTCAACTATCAATCTGTTGGTCATTATCCAACATACATTAGGGACTTTGACACCAAGCTGTTCTTTCCACTAGGTCCAGTCAATAAGACCAGGTTTTCAAGCCACCCAACATAATAGTTCTGTTTGACCTTCTTAACTCTAATGACCTTCGCTCCACCTCAGCAAACTACTTCCATGGGCCCTCTAGACTGTGGCATTCCTGTGAACCATTTAACCTCTGAAATCTTAAACTCCATTAGCCCACTCTCTGACCATAACTTTGTACTATGCTAGCACAAAGTAAAGAGGTTCCCTTGCTGCTAATTATATTCTTCATCTTTTCAAGGCCTCTATTTACTTTTTCTCAGCTAATTTCTGGCTTCCCTTTCATGCCATCCACTCTGGATACCCAGTATCATCATCATCATTATCTTCCCCAATCTGGTTCTTCTGTCACCCACCCTTACAAAACCTAAAGCCTGCACTAATATGACTTTTAACTCTCAACATCTGGCCTGAACACTGCTGAAGTAAAACCACCCAGTCATTTGGACTGCTGCCAGTTCAAATTCAACATCTGTATCCTTGGTCTGACTCTCAAAGACGCCTAGCAATTACTCTTCATAACCCTAATTCTAAACTTTTACCTCTCTCCTCAATCTCCTACTGCACCATCATCTCCTTCAATCACCTTGTCTCTTCAACAAGAAAAGTGTAGTTATCGAATGACAACCTTCTCAATTAAATCCTTCTGTCAGCTCAAATTTGCCTGAACTGAGATCCATCTTTTACTCCCTGCCATTTATCTCAGTGGAAGAGCTATTTTTCTCCCTATTGTTCCCTATCTCTGGCTGCTTTCTGGAGAGCCTCACACCATCAATGATGCCCTCTTCTATTTCTAATTTCTTCCTCTCTACTGGTTTATTACTCTTAGTATATAAATAAAACTAAATTTTCTCCCATTTTAAAACACACTCCCTCTAGCCTCCCTTCCTCTCTGACTGACATTCTGCCTATCAAGTTCCACCCATAGCCCAGTTTCTTGAAGAATAGTCTATGTTTGTGCTTTCTACTGCTTTATCTTCCATTTACTCACATATCATTCCAATCTGATTTCTGCCCACTCCACTCTATTAAATATGCATTTTGCTGAAGTCTTTGATCTTTAACAATCACCATGTGGCCAAACCAATGGATTCTTTTCTGTCTTTACCTTACTTGATTCCTCTGTGGTGTCAGACAGTGTTGAACACTATTTTCCTTTTGAAATTCTCCTTCCCCTGGCTTCTGATATACCATGCTTCTCTGGTTTTTCTCTTTCCTACCTCTCCAGCTACCCCTTCCTAATATTTTTCTATGGTTCCTGTTAGTAGCTCATCCTTTAATGTCAAGGTCACCTTGAATTCTGTCCTTGGTCTCATGCTCTACCTCCTGGCTACCTCTCATCTTCTACTCAGCTCTCCCCTTGTACTCTATACTCCAGTCACGTGAAATCCCCAGTCTCACACAAAGCTATCTACTCTCCCACTTCTAGGCCCTCACACATGTTTTCTTCCTCATCTGGCTGATTCTCCTTAGACCTTTAGGTCTCATGATACTCCTTCAGAGAAGCCTCCCCATCCTTCTAACCCCCTATATTCTTTCAAAAGAGGGTTAGGCTCTCCTCCTTTATTCTTCCATAGTCCTGTGTACTAATACAATTTTAACACACGTAATATTGCATTTTCTGTCTCTCTTGCTAGATTGTAATGTTCTCCTAGGCAGGGTGCTTGGTACAACATCTGGCATAAGTCGTTAATTAATATCTATTGGATAAACAAGTTTCTTTTTCCCCCTCTAATCTCTTACTCTGGGTAACTTAAAAGTCCAAAGCTGCCCCTATGACCTGTATGTAGTTGACTTCCAAATCTTGATTACTGGCCCCACCTCTCTACTGAGTTTCAGACTCATATATCCAATTCCGAATTTCCAATCAGTTGCCAAGTTTCATTGATTTGGCTATCTAAATAAATCTCGCATTTATCCCCACCCTCGCCATCCTCTTTTTTTTTTCTTTTTGAGGAAGATTAGCCCTGAGCTAACATCTGCTACCAATCCTCCTCTTTTTGCTGAGGAAGGCTGGCCCTGAGCTAACATCCGTGCCCATCTTCCTCTACTTTACATGTGGGACGCCTACCACAGCATGGCTTGCCAAGAAGTGCCATGTCCGCATCCAGGATCCGAACCAGTGAACTCCGGGCCGCCAAAGGGGAATGTGAGCACTTAACCGCTGCGCCACCGGGCCAGCCCCATCCTCTCTAATTCAGGCTTTTATCACGTTCCATCCGGAATTCAGCAATAGCTCCCTAACTAGGCCTCCTGATTCTAAGCCATCCTCCCACACTGCTCTAAGAGAAAGTTTTCTAAGAGGTAAATTTGACCACACTATTCCCTAGCTTACAATTTTCCAGTGGTTCTCCCTTATCTTTCAGAATAGAGCTCAAGTTCCTTGAAAGCCTCAAGTAGTTTCAGTTTCTGTTTTTGCACATTTAGTTCATTCTGCCTAGGACTCTTCTTCCTTTTCTTTGCCAAATCAAGACTCAGCTCAAGCCTTATTCCCTCTGGGAAGCCTTTGTTGACTCCCTGGATTTAATTGTAACTTTTACATAACATGTGTTTGTAACACATGTGTACTTTCTTCTTTCATTGACCTTATTAAATAATACTCATTATTTACAAATTTACTTACCAACTCAAATAAGATCCTTGAAGGCTGGGATCGTATTTTATTGAAATAAATTTAGTAGGCACTAAGTAAATATTTTTGAATAAATAAGGTATGAAAGCATTCTCTGAACAACACTCTTGTTCCATAAAATTCTATTACCTGAATTAAGACTATAAATGGGTTCACAGTCTGATGTCCTATGTACACTCAAATGCATTTACCATACTCAAGCCTTCTGAGGCAAGAGCCTTGTTAAATATCTACATTTGAAATCTACTAAGTATATATAAACATTACATTCTACACATATCACCATTCACTTTTACTCATCAAACACTTACAGGTTTTGGCTTCTCTCTTGAGTTACATTTTTTCAAATGCTTTGCTAGTTGATCTTCATATACTGTGCTAAATTCAAGGAGAAAATTATTTAAAATGAGACTTGTGACAATTACTGTTTCCAGCACAGAAAAACCCTTATCTGACCCATACTTACTGTTTTGGATCTAAAGGACAGAGGATTCTTTTCCGAGCATTTTCTTCCTAATAAAGAAAAAGGATATAATTATTTAAATAAAATATCAAGTTTTTTGCTTAGATATTAGATATAACTTCAGTGTGCTTATGCATTGCCAAAACAAAGTAAGGAAATCTTAAGAAGACATTAATAAAACATCGGCAAAATCAGGTCATAGAGTTTAAGAACAAAAATCTCCAATGTAGCTGGTTTACGAATATATGAGCAAATACTGCTTTGGACAACAAAGGTCTATAGCTTCAAACAGGTTACAGAAAAGGCCTAAATATGGAATTTTTAATCTCTGATAGCATTGACTGTAACATGCACTATTTTAGGCATCACTAAGAAAGAAAAAATGCTGTCAATTTACATAATGACATATCACTGATTTTAAGGTGCACTCTGATTTCAGAGATGTTAAAATGTGGGGAAAAACGTGTCTCAGAGACAATAAAATATGGCATTTTAACTATTTGGTATGTGGTCATATTCTACAGGCTTTGCAACTTTTCAGTATAGCAGAATTACATCCTGTTCGTTTCTAAGCTATATGGATTTAACTATACACACTAACAGAAAAAGGAAAATTAATAGTGCTGGCAATTCTACCCAACATTCATATGAATCTGTATCTAACAGGATAGTATAATAGTTAAGGTCATATCTAGGTCATACACATACACACATACACAGGTCAGCCAGATGGCCTAGGTATGATTCCCAGCTCTCTCTATCAGCTTCTAACTCTATGACCTGAGGTAGGCTTATGTCTCAGCTGAAATGAGAACAGTATGTCTTACCTCCTAAGGTTTGTGAAAATTAAGTGAGCTAAGAGCACAGAGCTGGCCATATAGTAAACGCCAAGTATTCAGTGTTATTAACAACTCTTTTTTCAGTTTATTTCGGTTCTGATCTGCCTCCTAGCATACCCATGAAACTATATACACTGAATTTCATGGGAAAGCTAAGAGATTTTGCAGTGTTTTTGAAAACACCATACATTATTCTTCATTTGCTGACTTTAAAATCTAACCTGGGTGAAAGAGAAGACTCTATTCTAATCCCCCAAAGTCTAACCATAGAGTGAGGGGAAAAAACACTCTTAAAATTTATTATTTGGGTTTAGAAACAGGGTTTCTCAACCCTGGAACTACTGATACTCTGGCCAGATAATTCTTTTTTGTGGGGAACAGTTCTGTGTATTGCAGGAGGGTTAGCAGCATCTCTGGCCTCTACACACTAGATGCCAGGAACACTCCTCAGTTATGAAAACCAAAATGTCTTAGACATTGCCAAGTGTTTCCTGGGGGTAAAAATCACCCCCCAGTTGAGAACCACTGGGTAAAAATGAGTACGAGTGGTCTCAGCTATATACGACACACAAAAAAGGAATGGAAACATAACACTTAATTATATCATAAATTACAGACTCAGTAGGATGCCCACAATTGAAAACCAAATTGTAGTTGTGTGAAGTGTTTCCAGTTGGCATGTTGCAGTATTCCTTCAAGGGACTAAGAACAACATGTCATTCCTCTCCAAGAATATCAATCAGCTTGTAAAGATCTATTCATATTCTACTACTGTCACCATCCGCAGTCACCTTCCAGATGTCTGGTTAAGGTGCAGTCTAAGATCTTATAACACAATGGGAACAAAATCATTCTCCTATCATAAATCCCCTTCTTCAATCAAGGGATGTTTCCGGTCCCCTTAAAACCAGCTGACACAACTGTGAGTGTACTTCAGAGAGTTCTCACCATGAGTCACAAGTCTCCCACATTCCACAACAAGAATATGCCTGTTTCAGCATCCTTTACTCTAGGCAAATATCAGTCAAATAAAATAGGAAGTAGAGCTATGGCTATGATGGACAGTAGCAAATGAAGGAACTCTGGGCTGATCTGTACTGGATATTACCTAGAAGGATAAGCTATCTGACGAACATGGAAAAATAGCAATACTCTTCATTCAGAACGCATGAATAATACTGCCCAGTCAGAAGGCATGAAACCAGATGCTTGCCTATTTGGCTTAAGCTTTCCAAAATGTATTAGACATGCTCCTTTTCTATAAGCATTCTGCTCCCCTTGTTATTTTTATTTTTTTATCATATATATCCCCAAAATAGACATATACAAAAATATATATTCTTTGACAGTACAATTACATGTATAACTGTGTCATCGAACAAAATTGTACGTTTTCTGTTCTCAATTTTAAAAGGAGAGTCATTTCTTACGTTTTTAAATCTTCCCTTCTCCTTTCCAGCAAAGTAGTTGTAAGTCGCTTTCAAAAGATTGTACGTCTAAATAAATCTTAAAAAAGTTTCTCTCAACTGCATTCATGAGAAATGATTACCATTCACGAAACAATTAGAACACAATTAGTGAAGCCTTGGGATCTTTGATGACTATTCTTCCTAAACTACCACTTCCCATCAGGAAGGCGGAGAATGGGCGGAGTGTAAGAAGCTGTAGTTTAGAGCGAAACTAAAATCCGGCATTGCCATGAGTTAGGACCAAGATAAGCAGGTCACTGCTGTCGCTTTACTTAGTAAAAGAAAACACTGCACTTCTCTAGGGTTCATCATCGCTCCCCAGGAAGGGCAGGACTGCGTTGATGAAAGGAAAAGCTAAAAAATCAGGGGACAGAAGCAGAAATCCGTCAGAGAGGGGAGGTACGGGACCAGGAAACTTATTTCTGACTCTCGAGAGGGTAGGGCGATACCAGACCTCCGCGGCTCCAGCGTGTTCACCACAGAACCTCTTCCCTGCTGCCACCACCATCCTGCAGAACCGCTTCTTCTTTTCCACATAGTAACCGCATCGACCCTCAGCTGGAAAGCCAGTCGCGTGCGGCGTCGGCGCAGAAGCCGCCATAAGTCAGGACTCGCTTCGGGTGTTGCAAGCATCGGGCGAACAGAGGAAAAGTTGTCAGCTTCCCTCGAGTTCTCTTCCCTTAACAAATATGGCTGCCTCGAGTCCCGCCACGTAGGTTAATACCCGGAACTATCGTCTCATCCTGCACAAAACCGGAAGAAACGGATGGTGGCTGGCGAGGTCCAAACCTCCCCCGTCTTCCCACCGCTTCTCTTTCCCCGCCTCCTCCGCGGAAGCCGAGCGCCAAACTCAAACTTCAGCAAGCCCCGGACGCCTTTCAGGCGAGAACCGCGGGCCGGGCCTGTGGACTTTTCCGTACACCGGCTGGGGGAGCGGGCCACCATGAGCCAGGTTCTGTTCCAGGAACTAGTCCCGCTGCAGGTGAAATGCAAAGACTGCGAGGAGAGGTGAGGTCCGCGTTACCGGGTGCCGGCGGGTGGCGGTTGGGGTCGGGCCAAGGGGGAAAGATGGCGGCTCTGGCCTGCGGCTGGGTGTCCGGCCGGCCTCCCCGGACGCGGAGAGGGACCCGGCTGGAACCTAATGGTCACCGCTCTCCCCGGGGCGACCGTTGCTGAAGGCACGAAAAAAGGGCGTGAGGAAATGGGAAGCCGACCCGCGTCAAGTTAATATCAAACAATCTTACATCTGAACGGAATCGTGGAGATTATAGCCCTACTGTCTCCTGGCGGATAAGAACTCTGGTCCAGAGAAGTTAAATAATGTCCGCCAGGGCTCACAGCGACTTCACGGCAGCGCCGGCTCCGGAGCTCAGGCCTTGGCTCTCAGCCTTTTTTTCGCTCTCCTTTGAATTATATTGGAAGTAAATTTAAGCTTCAGCTTAAAAAAAAAATTCAATTTCATGGTGTATTGCCTCTTCTCAATAGTTACTAAATAAAATAAATTACATTTAGTCGACCGAAAACAATAGGGGAAAACCAGAGCTTTTATTCATTCATTTATTTATTCAACAAATATTGCTAACTTGCAAAACACCTTGCTGGGCACTGGGGATACAGTGGTCAGCAAAAACAGTTCTTGTCTTCGTGGAGTTTACGGTCCCGCGGGGCAGGAAATAAAGGCCAGTCTCACAGATAAATGCAAAATTAGCAGTTTCACTGAGGAGGTGGTGGTATTGGGGCTTAAGTAGAGAGATTGACTAGAAGTCAAGAGATTTCAATTTGGTCTTAGTTTCACCGCTCATTAGCTGTCTCTGAACTTCTCTGACCCTTAAGTTGCCTCATTTGTGAAACTGATATAACATGCCTACTGCCCACATGATTTGTTATGAGGGTCAAGTGTGAAAATGTACATGAAAACGAAACAGTGTGGTAAGTGACATATAAAAAATGAAGACTGACTTACTGAGTTGCCTGTATTGTGAAACTAGCGTATAGTTCAGAATTAGGTCCAAAAGCCATTGGCAAACCAGGCACGGAGAGGGTACCAGAACCAGCAGCCGCATATGGAGACCTGTAGGTTATTTCAGTTGGTCATTCTTTTTTTGCCGCCCAATATGGGAGCCATATATGGTTATTGAATATTTGAAATGGAGCTAATCTGAACTGATGTGCCGTAAGAGTAACATGCACACTGGATTTTGGAGACCTACTATGAAAAAAAGGAATGTAAAATATCTCAATAATTTTTATATTGATTATATGTCAAGATGACAATGTTTTGGATATGTTGGGTGAAATAAAATACTAAAGTTAATTTACATGTTCTAATTTTTTTAATGTGGCTTCTGGAAAATTCAAATCTATATACATGGTGGGGCTGCCAGTGGCGCAGCGGTTAAGTGCTCATGTTCTGCTTCGGTGGCCCAGGGTTCACTGGTTCGGATCCCAGGTGCAGCCATGGCACCCACTTGGCAAGCCATGCTGTGGTAGGTATCCCACATATAAAGTAGAGGAAGATGGGCACAGATGTTAGCTCAGGGCCAATCTTCCTCAGCTAAAAGAGGAGGATTGGCAGTGGATGTTAGCTCAGGGCTAATCTTCCTCAAAAAAAAAAGACCAAACTTTATACTTGGGTCATATTTGTGGCCGCCATTGTATTTGTTTTGGACAGCATTGTTCTAGAATGATTATAGAAAGATACAAGAAAGGGGGAAGGGCCAGCCCGCTGGTGTAGTGGCTGAGCTCACGCGCTCTGCTTCAGTGGTCCTGCTTCGCCAGTTCGGATCCCAGCGGCAGACCTAACGCCAATTGTCAAGCATTCTGTGGTGGCCTTCCAAGTAAGACAGAGGAAGACTGGCACAGGTTGTTAGCTCAGGGACAATCTTCCTGGCCAAAATAAAGAAGGAGGGGTGCAAAATTTCTCATTCCAATATTGAAACTCCTAGCTCTTCTCCATCTCATTACATTGTCATCACAGTTATCTGCTTAAAACACAATTCAACCTTTTCACTACTCCTTTTTAGAAACCTTTCATATATTCCTATCACCTCTAGCAGGGGTCAGCAAACTAGAGCCCATAGGCCAGAAGGCATACTGCCTGTTTTTGTAAATAAAGTTTTATTGGAACACAGCCATTCTTATTAGTTTAACAATTGTCTATGGCTGCTTTTGTGCTGCAAGGGCAGAGGTGAGTAATTATGACAGAGACCTTATGACCTGCAGAGCCTAAGATATTTCCTATCTGGCCCTTTAGAAAAAGTGTGCAGACCCCCCTGATCTATAGGAAAAACAATCTAGATTCTTCAGTTAAGTATTCAAGGCCAGTTGAGCTCAACAAATAGTATGAATGCCCACTATGTACCAGGAACTGTCCTAGGTGCTGAGAATATAAAGCTCCTTCCCTCCTCCACCCAAAAAATTTTCATTCTGGCCTTCACGGATCTCACACTTTAATAGGAAACACAAAAAGATTTTCCTTGGAGGGGCAGCATAGCAGAAGTTAAGATAAGAGTTCAGGCTCTGGAGCTAGATTGTCTGAGTTTAAATCTCACTTCTGCCGATTATTGACTGATTTTGTACAATTTTTTTTACTTCTCTATGCCTCCTCTTTAAACTGATGATAATAGAAGTACTTGCCTCATGGGATTATTATGAGCATGAAATGATTTAATACACATAAAGTGCTTAGCACAGTGCCTGGAGCATAATAAGCATTCACTAAACATTAGCTATTATTAAAGTGTGATGAATTCATGAAGTAATATAAATGTACTAAAGTCCTAGAAAAGAAAGAAATTCAGTTGAAGACTGAACTCTGTCTAGAAGAAAGTCTTGCAAAATTTTCGAGTCATGTTGTGACACCAATCTGCTTTTTCGTTTTTGTTTCCTAACCTCCCTCCTCTCCCCAATATATTAGTCACAAGACTACCTGTTATCCTGTGAATGTACCTGATACTCTCTGAATACAATACCTTTACTCCTTCTCTTCCCTCTGTCTCAAATTCTTTTGCTTTCCTAGCCTTCAAGGTCTATTTTAAATCCCTTCACTATAAGAACCTTTTCAGAGTTGCCCAAGTTGAAATTGCCACTTGTCATTTATTAAATAGCATGCTGTAAGTGAAAAATCTCAGTTCTAATTTGGGCTCTGCAGTGTGACCTTAACCAAGTTTGTAACTCTGTGTGTCTCAGATTCTTCCCTTGTACCAGAGAGATAATATTTACTTAACAAGATTAGTGTCGTTAAATAAGATGTGTGTAAAGTGCCTGCCAGGTACTCAGATACTCAGGAAGTGTTAGTAACCCTTCCCTGCCCTCTCTTGAAGGCCTAAAATATAATCAGAAGCAAATCTGAGGTAAAGTCATTTAATCTGATCTCAATGTAAGGACATAGAGCATGTTTATTTCTGTTTGTATCCCTAGCACCCAGCACGGTACCTGGCTTAGAGTAGCTTTGATTTGTTTGAATTGAGTTTAAGGTTATAGCTACTAGGTGGCAGAGGTGGGCTAGAATCCAGTTCTGCTAATGCCAAATCTAACTTACAGGAAGGATGTTATGTAGATTTATACATTCAGAGTGTGACAGTTATTTTGAGAAATAGCATTTTTTGGGTTTTTATTGATTTGTTTTATATTGTTCCTATGACATTAACCATTACAATGGAGAAAATAAGATTTGTGGTTTCAGATAGTATGTCCTATGAAAGCTCAGATTTTTCTGCAAGATATTTCCAGGGGGCAGTGTTTGAAGTAAACATGGAGGATAGTTTTAATCTATGGGCCTCTCCTCCTTTGTTCTTCCAACACCTAATGTGTATAGGCATTTGGAATACTGTAACAACATCATTAATATGATTATAAAATTATCATATTAATGTAACATCCAGTATTATATAAAGAACACTTTATTAAATGGATACATCTTGATTTTTTTTTTTTTTTTACAAATTTGTCAAATATGACAGGACTGTTAAATGTGTAGATCACCATAAAAAATTAGTCATCAACTGCAGTGTCATACCACTATGGCAGTATGTACTAGAAAAAACTTCCAAAAGATGAAAACCAAACATAATGACATTACAGGCCTGAGAAGGCCCTCACAAACCTAACTCAATTGAAATTAGGAAATTGGAAGTTTTTACCCCCAAGAACACTTAATTTAAGTGGAATTGGAGTAGGAATCTAATCTGTTTCGCAAAGATTGCTCTAGATACTAGAAAATTAGAAACAAATTCTCTTGTTTCGTTTTGTTTTTTCTGAGGAAGATTAGCCCTGAGCTAACATCTGTTGCTAATCTTTCTCTCTTTTTTTTTTTGGCTTGAGGAAGATTAGCCCGAGCTAACATCTGTGCCAGTCTTCCTCCACTCTATATGTGGGTCACCGCCTCAGCATGGCTGACGAGTGGGATGTAGGTCTGTGTCTGGGATCTGAGCCCATGAACCTGGGCTGCCAAAGCAGAGCACACTGAACTGAACCACTATGCCGTGGAGCCAGCCCCAAATTCTCTTGTTTCAAAGATAATTCGTCCTATCTTTGCGGTCTTCACTAGTGTTGCTTGTTCATTTTCAGATAACTAATACGAGTTATGGTAACCTCATCGTATGAACTAAGATTTAGCATCTAATCATATGTTCAATAGGAAATTTAACTAAAATCATATGTTTTAAACCAGTATAAAATTGCAGGTCAGAGCATAAAAAAATTCAAACAGTTGAATCTAGCCTTGGTCAACTATTACCAAGTTTTTTCCATCAACACTCAGTTGCTATGTCTATACTTTTTACTTCTGCAGTGGATAAGTAGTAGAATGTGGGAAAGATTTAAAACACATCTTTAGAAGAATAACTTAAAATTGAATAAATTCTATTTGTGAGTTTGCTTTCTTTCTCTGTACATCAGGGAAACACCATTGGTATTTAATTCTAGTAGGATAGTTTGAGAACCACTTCTACAGAGATGTCTTTTCACCAGTTTTTCCCTTTATTTCCTGAATTATTTAAACATTTTTGCTTAATTTGATTAATGTTTATGGATACCTTTATTTTAATTTAATTTAAGTTATTTTAAAGACAGGCCCTGAGCTAACATGTTTACCACTCTTCCTCTATTTATATCTGGGGTGCCGCCTCAGCATGGCCTGATGAGCAGTGCTAGGTCCTCACCCGGGATCTGAACTGGCGAAAGCCTGGGCCGCCGAAGCGGAGTGTGTGAACTTAACCACTCAACCACGCGCTGGACCCTATGAGCACCTTTATTTATATTCCTCTGTCCAATACTGGGTTCTCTATGATGCAGATAGAATATGGAAAGCTATGGTTTCTTCCTTTTAGGGTTTGGAGTTACTCTAGGATTGGATAGATGATAATAAACTTGTTGACAGTAGTTCTGTGGATGTATTGCATAGGGAGTGTATTTAGCACATTTTAAGTTTTTACTTAAATTACTTGACACTTTAAGTTTTTCAAATGGAATCTCTCATACATCAATTTGATCATTTGAATTGGTAATTTTTTTAATGTGAAAAGTTGTTATTAAAGTGATGGATTGTCTTTTAATAGATGCTACTTTAGAATCAGGGCAGCACTAGGCATTCCACATCATTTATATCATTTAGTCCTCACAATAACCCCATTGTACAGGAGAGAAAAATTGAGCCTCAGGTTAAAAACTTGATCACTTGCTAGTGGAAGAACAAGCACTTAAACTTCGAATCCAGTGTGCTTTCTAAACATGTTTGTAAGTTAGGGAACACCTGTGGAATATCTTGTAGCTCAAGACCCAAAACTGCAGCTAATACAAATGACAGTGATAACTCATTTCATGTGAATGTTATTGACCGTTGGGTGTATCTTTCTATACAGGAGAGTAAGTGTTAGAGTGAGCGTTGAACTACAATCAGTTTCTAATCCAGTTCACAGAAAGGTTGGTATTTATTTTGTTTTTGAAATATGATTTCTATACATTATAGATAATTATTTTTATTCTTTAAGAATGTGAGATCTTTTGTTATACCCGTTTTGCTTTTTAATTTGGGGCCATTTTGTAACTTGCAAATCTGGGGTGGTAGAATCTACCGAGACAACTAAGAGATTATTCTACCATATATTTCTAAAGTATAGGGGAAGAATTGAGGGTTGGGGAAACAGTCTCCTTAGGTTTGCCCAATGCATTCGTAAGTTGGTAAAATATATATTGCTACTCTATAGAATTGGCATTTCATGGTGTAAATGTGAGAATGGAATGAATTGAAGCACTGCAGGGAGATATTCTTGAACTTTTATTTTGTCTTTTGAAGAGAGGTATTTAGAGCGTCAGTCCTATATGATCTTCAGAAGTATGAGTCATTAACAGAGATGGGGATATAGAATAGACAGCTAAGAAATACAGCATCTGTTTTCTCTGTGTCGTAGCTTTCCCTAAACGTATTCAGGGATCTAGTAGTAGTAGTAGCGGCTTCAGTTTTTTATAGCATCTTGTGGTAGATTTCAAGAAGTGCTTAAATAGAAGCTGCTTTAAGAACAGGGTGTTCTGAAATACCTAGATTGCTAACTTTCCAGGGTAGAGATTATATACTGTACTTCTTACATGTCATTCCATATGCCTGCTGTACCTCTTCATTTTCTAGCTCTCCTTGTGAGTCATTTAGATTTGTCTAGGACTCTAGCAGTTCCCCAGTAACCACGAGTAGATTTTGTTTCAAGGTGGAAGCGTGTTCTTAACTGGAATGCCTGTTTCTTTATTAGTCCTCCATCATCTTGTGCTGTGGCTTAACACCAGTGTTCTCTGAAGGATGTGATTTCTCTGTACTTTTCTGTCAGCTTTAGCTGCTGTGATGATTTACTATGCTGTAAATTTAACTACCTGGAAAGTGGTCTTTATGAAAGGTATTCGCTTCATTTGAAACTGAAAACAGATGGGGTTCCACGTCAGTGACCACCTGGAGTAGGAGAGAATAGGCTCTTAGGAAGAAGCCCTGGCAACATGTCACCTGATACCCCTGTCCTCTGCCTGAGAGAGAAATGCTTCTTTCTTTTCTAGGGTGCATGATGGTTTGTCTTCTGCTCATGTATTTGCCACTTTTGAAATATGAGACAGTTAACTTGAGGGAAACTGAAAATGTAATTGAATATGCTGTGGTCAGTGGTAAAGAATATCTTTGTCATGGTATCGTAGTGCAGCAAGGGCTGGGTCTGAATTTTCCTAAGCCTCTGATAGGGTAATATTCCTAAACTTTCAACTCCTAGCGTTTAATTAACTTTTATAGACCCCTCTGTGGCTCTCAAAGAGCAGAATATCTGCCCTTGTTTAAGATTGTACGTCTTTAAAGACTAATGAAAGCCCAGTGGCAGGAGAAAACAAAGCCGTCTGAAGTATAACAGTGATACATTGATGTTATTGGATAATTTCACTTCGAAGAAGGAAGAAATTACTCTAAAAGCCAGATCTACTGAAAATATTAAAATTTTTCTTTTAGGATTTAGTTATCCGTCTGACTGATGATACTGATCCATTTTTTCTGTATAACCTTGTTATATCTGAGGAGGATTTTCAGAGGTAACTAAATTTATTTTTCTGATCCTGTATTTAATCTAGGAATAAGTAAGTTAAGTTTTATGAATGTAGTGGTACTATTCTCTTTGCAACACATACATATTAGGAACATTTCTGTATTTGGGGAACACTGGACTATTTATACTCTAATTATTCAGGATGTTTTTGAAAATAATTATTTCATAGATTATCAGAGTTCTGCTTAAAACAGCTCAGAAATTTGGAACTTTAGCTAAATTTATTGACTTTTTCTCTCCCATTGAATAAATTTTATAAAAATCAAAGCTGCCTAGCTTAGTTCTTTTTTATAATGGGTGTTTAGTAAATAAAAAAAATCTTTCAGGTTGATAATTATTATTAAAGATGTAATTAAATTTTTAAAAAATCTCTTTTCCTGTCTTCTGTATAGTTTAAAATTCCAGCAAGGTCTTCTGGTAGACTTCTTAGCTTTCCCACAAAAATTTATAGATCTCCTTCAGCAATGTACTCAAGAACATACCAAAGAAGTTCCAAGGTAAGCCTCATGAGAGCACTACATCATTAAACTCCTCTCAGGACGAACTGTTCTTTGTAAGACAAGTTGATGGCGAAGTATTTTCTATGTATTATAAGTATTCCTGTCTATTTTAAAAACTGAGATTAGGGCTCCATTAAATCTCAAATTTTAAGGAATCATTAAAATCAGAAATATTTACCCCTTAATTTTCATGTCTTGGCAAAGCAATTAAAATTACCTGAAATATTTAACAGCATCAAGTAAATGTTTTTATAGTGAACTCGGAAGAAAGGAAGAATAACGTTTTTTGTGTGTATATTCATATTCATGTGGCTCTAACACCTGATCCTTTCATTGTAAATTTCACCAACCTTTAATGTATCAGTTTCAATTGATGGTTGTTGTTTGAATCAATAATTTCATTAAGAACTTACAAAATTATGCTTTTCTAATTCTATCATTCTGTATTTATTAGGCATAATTCTATAAAGAAGAACTTTGCTCATCAATTAGGGCTATTTGATTATCTGATAATTCATAGAGAAAAGGATAAATGTTTAATTTTTACTTTTAAATTGTCAGTTTTCAGAGTACGGAGTTGTTACTCTAGATGCTTTTGTGGTTTCAATAAGTTTTTGGTTTGTTTTTATTTTTAGTTTTTTGCTTTCTCTCTCTCCTCATCTGTCTCTTATTCTATACTCCTGAACATTTATATATTCACTATATTTCAATCAATTCTTTTTCTCGCCCAATTTATTCATTTTTTCCTATTTACATCAATATATCCAGTTTTACATTGGGAGTCCTTTCATATTGGCCTGTCTGATTCTTTTTTTTTTTTTTGAGGAAGATTAGCCCTGAGGTAACATCTGCTGCCAAACCTCCTCTTTTTGCTGAGCAAGACTGGCCGTGAGCTAACATCCGTGCCCATCTTCCTCTGCTTTATATATGGGACACCTGCCACAGCATGGCTTGCCAAGTGGCATGTAGGTCCACACCCAGGTTCCAAACTTTCAAACTGGTGAACCCTGGGCTGCCGAAGCAGAATGTGTGAACTTAACTGCTGCGCCACCAGGCCAGCCCCTCTATGATTCTAATATGTCCTCTTTCCTGATCCTTTTATCATTGATGATTCAATGGAGCTCATCATTCAATGGGAGAGAGTTTCACTATCTCATAAATGTGTTATAATAAACACTTTCTCTTCAAAGGTTTTTGCTACAGTTAGTTTCTCCAGCTGCTATTTTGGATAACTCACCTGCCTTTTTAAATGTGGTAGAGACAAATCCTTTTAAACATCTTACACACCTCTCACTGAAAGTTTTACCTGGAAATGATGTGGAAATAAAGAAGTTTCTAGCAGGCTGTTTGAAATGTAGCAAGGTAAGATTTAAATTTAAGTTATTCTTCTAAAATAAGTACCAAAAGTTTCTGATAAATCACTGAAGAGCTATATTGCCATTAGTTTTTGTTTTCTGCAGAAAGTTTTTTAAAGATGTCCAGCAAGTTTTTATAGCATGTAATGAATTTATTTTATTTTATTGTTTCTCATTTAGTCAAGGTACAACAAGGATAGAACTGGACCAGAAATTGAGAAAACTTAGGTCCCAGGGTATTTACTTACTTCGTGTGGCTTTGGGCAGGTTACTTAAACTCTTGATGTCATGGTTTCATCAGCTGGTAGCTAAGTGTGGAAATATCTACCATATCTAGCCTATCTTAAATGAGATAAAATATCTGAAAGTGTCTTAAATTACAAAGTACTCTATAACTATATAAGATGTATAGCACAAGGAAACAACATTGGGATGCCCCTTAAGAGTTTTCAGAGATTCTCTTTAGTCAAATGCTATGGACCAGTGCATCTCAAAATTTAATGGTACTCAAATCTTCTAGGGATAGTATTCATGTAGATTCTAACTCAGAAGATCTGAGGTAGAGCCTGAGAGTCTGCATTTCTAACAAACTCCCAGGGGGATTCTGATCCTATACTGTTGCTACACTTTGAGGAGCACAGCTACAGATGATAAAATTAAATTGTGATCTGTGTAATTTTATTATTTTTATAAATAGGAAGAAAAACTATCATTGGCACAATCACTAGAGGATGTTACTAGGCAACTGAATTTCACACAAAAGGTAATTGAAATTTCATTTTGTCTTTGTAAGTCATCCAAATATTGGCTCTGAATTGCTTCTTGAATCAAATCGAGGCTTTTGTACATTTTTTTTTCAAACATGCTACCATTGAATTCCCTCTTTTTTTTGTCATCCTTTTCCTACCAGTTAATTATCTTAATCTTGTGCTTCCTCTCTGATATTTTATTCCATGTAAACATTTGTTATCCTCAGTAAAAACACATTCCCTTCAAGTCTTCATTAAATAAGATAGTGTATAGTATCTGTCACATGTTCTCTGCTCTTCTTTTGTTCACCTCATTCCTCTTGTCTCAAATAGCTTTTCAGTTCCTGTCTTCTAAACGTTTCCCTTTCTTCCTTTTGTTATGTTTAGAATTAATTCCTCTAATAGGCCTGTCATGGTTTCAGTCATAGCTGCTACCTCCTTGCCCCTAGTCCTTGAAATTGAGGAGGAAAGTATATCTAATAAGCTTCATGGCTTCAGGTAGAAAACTGTCCTGCACAAGGTGGCCCATCTTGGGAACATATGTTATTATGTTTTTGTGTTTAAGTGAACTACTCCTTGTGACTAACTTGCTCTACCCTGGGTTGCTGTATTTCTTAATGCCTGAGGAGAGGATTGGGTGGTGCAGAGCCAGATTTGACTAGAAGATTAAAGATAATTAAGGTTGACCTATGGGCCGTTTTAGCTCTAAAATTGCTTTTATTCTAATCTTGATTTCCTCAAATTCAAAAAATCTGTGTAGGAAAAGGCTTTGAGTTTGTCTTGAAAAGCTGTGATACCATTTTCTTTAATATCCTTGTAAATATTGCCATGTTCTAGTCTAATAACTTATTCAGAAAACTGTGTTAATGTTTTGTATTGAACTCTAATACAGACATTATCAGAAAAAATCCAAGAATTAGATAAGTTACGGAATGAATGGGCATCGCACACAACAGCATTGTCAAATAAGCATTCTCAGGAACTGACAAATGAGAAGGAAAAAGCCTTACAGGTATGAACCTTAAAAGAAACTAGAAAAATATTTTGTTATTACTGTTAGTCGTTTCGTTAATTATAAAAGTAATATATGCTTGCTTTAAAGTTTTCAAACATTACAGAAGTATATGAAAATTGTCTCTCCTTCAGTCTTAATACCCAGAGATAATCTGTGAACATTTTGACGTGTTTTTCCAGACTTTCTCTGTATATGTAAAAAATATTTATAAATTTATAAATATTTGCTTATATTTATAAATTTAGGAATATGTACATTATATATAATTACTGATATATATGTATGTGCACACATAGTGGGCTTTGTTTTTGTTCTATGCTAATGAAGCCCTACTGCGTATATTGATTGTAATTTTTGTTTCACCTAACATGACATCATAGATATTCTTTATCAAATCAGATATTCCTTTTTAGTGGTTGCATAGTATTCATTATCTGAACATAGCATAAATTATTTAACTACTTACCCAACTGGTAGACATTTAAATGCTTCAAAAATTTCGTTATTACAAGTAATACTCCAGTGAACATTTTTTGTTCCTAGAAGTGAGATTGCAATATACTCCTATAAAATATTAATTAATATTGCAAATTTGCCACCCAAAAAGCTTGTACCAAATGGAAGCCCAAAAATAGTGTTTGACCATACTTATTTCCTCACACTCTATTATTATTAACCTTCTTAATATTTGCCACCTGATGAGTGTTATGGTAGTATTTAATTTATATTTCTTAGATTTTCGACAAAGATAAACATTTTTTCGTATGACTTTTGGCCATTTTGTTTTCTTCTGGGGTTTACTTTTTAATATCTTGTGCTTATTTTATCTATGTGACTATCATTTTCTTTGTAGTGTGGATTTATTTTTTAACTTTTATATTACAGCTTCTTTAATATTTAATTTCATTTTTGTTTTTAATATTTAATTTCATTTTTGTTTTTAATGCACTTTACTAGATGTTTGCTGTTAAGGGTGCAGCTTGATGATATTTTTATGTGTAACTTCCACCCAAATAAAGATTCAGAAAATTGTACCAACCCCCTCTAGGTTCCCTTGGGTGCCTTCCCAGTCTGTATCATACTCCCATAGGAGGTCATCACTCTTCCAACTTCTGTCGTCATTGACTAATTTTGTCTGTTCTTGAATTTCATATAAGTGATGCAGTATGTACTTACTTGTGTATGGCTTCCTTCACTCAGCATATCATCTCTGAGATTCAGTTATGTTCTTGTGTGTTTCTTTTTATTGTTATGTAGTATTCTCTTGTGTGAATATGCCATAATTTATCTATTTTCCTGTTGATAGACATTTGGATTGTTTCTGATAATTTGCTATTATTAATTAAACTGCTGTGAACATTCTTGTGCATGTCTTTTTGTGAACAGATGCACTAATTTTCCTTGGGTATTTATATTTAGGATTGGAATGACTAGGTTCTAGTGTAGACTTAGGTTTAACTTGGTAGAAACTACCAGTTTTCCAAAGTGGACATGCCAGTTTATACTGCTGTTCTGTGGGTGTGTAATTAGACCTCATAATAATGAACACTTTTTCATATGCATATTGATCACTTGGATCTTCTATTGTGAAGTGCCTGTTTGAGTCTTTAGCCTGTTTTTAAATTGGGCTATTAGTATTTTTCTTAGTGATTTGTAGGAATTCTTTGTTCTGGACATGAGTCCTGTGTCAGATATATGCGTTGTGAATATTTTCTGTCTGTGGCTTGTGCTTTCATTTCTTAATGGTATGAAGTAAGGATATTTTACCTTTATCTGTTATGTAGATTATAAACATTTTTTCCTGGCCTATCATTTGCCATTTACGGGTATCTTTTGCCAAATACAGTTCTTTTTATTTGAATTTCATTAAATCTGTCAATCTCTCCCTTTATGGTTTAAGGCTTCATTTCATGTTTCACCCCAAGGTTATGAAAGATATTCTCCAATATTTTCTTCTAATACTTTTATAGTTTTCTTGTATTTAACTCTTTAATCTTTTTGGAATATATTTTTGTGGAGTGTATGAAGTATTTTTTTGACGTAGAGTCAGTGAGTTGTTCCAATACCATATTTCCCCAGTGATTTGAAATACAACCTTTAACATACACTGAATTCCTTTATGTATTTGGGCTTATTTCTGGACTGTTGGGAAGATCTGATATGTCTGGAATTTTCTTCCCTAGTAGAACTATCTCTTGGTTTGTTTATTCAAGTCTTATTTGTTTAAAACAGGCTCTTTATTTTCTTCCTTTTCTCCTTTCATTTTTTCTCTTACATTTCTTGTTAACTTTTTGCCTGGAAAGGTTTCTGCTCTATAAATGGGACCATCTACACTCCACCACTGTGATATTTTCTAATTGTTTATTGCTAATGTGTATTAATATGGTACCCATTAATTCTAAATTACATTCACATATTTGCATAATATACATATTCTAATAGTTTTGGAGTTGATTCTCTTAGGTTTTCCAGGTGGATATAAAAACTATATAAAAATGGTAATTTGTCTCTTCCTAAGATTTATGTCCCTTTTTTTTTCTTGTATAGAAAAGTGCTGAATAATAATGGAATCTTTATCTTGTTCCAGTCTTTTTTGGTAAATAACTGAAATATTTCACCATTAGGTATGATATTTGCTCTACATTTGAGAAAGTTTTCTTCTTTTCCTGGTTTCCTAGGAGTTTTAATGCAAAGAGTGCTAAGTCAGATAAATTGAGTTTTGAGAATCTAATCAAATAATCATAACATTTTTTTCACTTAATCTGATAATGTAATAAATGATGATAATAGATTTCCAAGTGTGGAACCATCTTTGAATTCATAGTATAATACTTAGTCAAAGAGATTTTAATTAAAGTGTTGGATCAATTTGTTAATATTTAATTTAGGATATTTGTATTTATATTCATAGCTGAAATTGGTCTGAAATTACCCTTTCCCTGAACTCTATCTTAGTCTGCCTGTTAAAATTATGGGGTATAGACTATGGTATTAGAATTATGCTAGCGTCATATAATGAGTGAGAACATTTTCTAGTTTTCTTTATGCTGTAGAACAGTCAGATAACAAGGAATTATCTGTTCCTTGAAGGCCTGATAGAATTAGCCTTTTATCATTTGGATCTGGTGCCTTTTCTTTTTGAGAAAGATTAGCCCTGAGCTAACATCTGCTGCCAATCCTCTTCTTTGTGCTGAGGAAGATTGGCCCTGAGCTAATATCTGTGCCCATCTTCCTCTACTTTATATGTGAGACGCCTCCCACAACATGGCTTGATGAGTGGTGGTTAGGTCCATGCCTAGGATCCGAACTGGTGAACCCTGGGCCACTGAAGTGGAGCACGCGAATTTAACCGCTATGCCACCAGGCTGGCCCTTTGGTTTGGTGCCCTTTTGAGGCATTTATCTTTAGGTTCTTTTTCCATTTCCTTCATGATTATTGGTCTGTTTGGATTTTCTATTTTTTCTTGAGTTAGTTTTTAAAATTTTTATTTCCTGAAAAAACATGTATTTCATCTATGTGTTTAAATGTATTAGTACAATATCATACATATTGTCTTATGATTTTTAAAATCTTCATGTTATTTCTTTTATGTTCTTAATTTGTTTTTTTAATGAGACAGGATGGTTTGTCTTTTTTTTAGTATTTTTGAAGAATTAGTTTTTCATTTTATTAATTAGTTCTACACTGTTTTTCTCACTATTTCAATTAATATCTGTTGTTTACTAAATTATTTTTGACTCTATTTTCAAACAAGTTAAGTTCTAAAAGTTTCATCATAAGTGCATTTGTTCATAGCTCAAAAGTGACTGAAGAATTCTTTTTTCCTTACTGCATTTTCGAATAGGGTTGTGAATCAGTCCTTAGAGACTTTAAAACCAGGCAACTCTTCTCTTGCTGCTGATAGATATTCTCGAGGGCAGTGATTTTAAAACTTTAGTGCACATCAGAATCATCTGAAATGAACAAATAGAAAATGTAAACGTTGTATGTAATCTTATGCCTTATACTTTCATTTTTTTTAAAACAAAAACTTCACAATTCGCATGATCACTGAGATAAAACCAGTTCTTTTTGTTTTTGAGGAAGGTTAGCCCTGAGCTAACTACTGCCAATCCTCCTCTTTTTGCTGAGGAAGACTGGCCCTGAGCTAACATCTATGCCCATCTTCCTCTACTTTTATATGTGGGACGCCTACCCCAGCATGGCTTTTGCCAAGCGGTGCTATGTCCGCACCTGGGATCCAAACCAGCAAACCCTGGGCCTCCAAGAAGTGGAACGTGTGAACCTAACTGCTGCGCCACTGGGCCAGCCCCAAAACCAGTTCTTTATTTTTACTGCCTTTGGCCTCAGTTGCCTCTAGTCTGTTTGATTACTCTCTTAGACACAGTTAGCATGTTTACCAGTATGCTCCTTTTTTTTTCTTGATTGCTGCTTCAGTGCTTTTTCCAAGATTGCCTTTTCAGTTTATATTTATATAGATTCTTACTTATTTTATCTCTTTTGCTCCCTTCTCCTCCCTCTTCCAGTTTTCCAAAAATGAGGGAATTATTAAAGTAGTAATGTAAAATTCTCAAAGTATTTTATGAGAAAGACATTCCCCTGCACTTGAAGAAATCTTTGAATGGTTACAACTTTTCTGGAATGTAGTTTTGGAACTTGTATCAAGCTTTATATTTGTGTATATTCTTTGACCTATAATTGATCATAAGGAAATAATCTGAATTTTGGATGTATGTCTCTGTACAAAAATATTAATCATAGTTTTATTTGTAATTGTGAAAAATTGGAAACTCCATAGTAGGGCAAGGGTTAAATGAATTGTGGTATAGCTATGGGATGGAATGTTGTGCAACTATGAAAGTGTTTACAAAGAGTTTTTAATGATGTGAGAAGGTGCAAATGCTAAGGGAATAAAAAGCGTGATTAAGTTGTATAAATAGCTTGATCTTAATTTGTTAAATTTAAATATATTGTATGTGTGTGGATGACGTCAATTTAAATATATAAATGACGAAAAGAATATTCCTAAATATTTAGAGTGACTTCCTGGATGAAATTATTGGTTGTGATTTCTTTCTTTGCCTTTAAGAGCATGTATAACTTTCATAATCAGAAGAATATTTTTCAGAGGTATTTAGGATTTGGTAGTGTTCATCAACAGAAATTGTTAGGATGGGTTTGTGGTATGTTTCCAACAGGCACCAGAGATTACATAGTTACAACCATGTTCAAATTTTTTTGTTGGTAAAGTGTAACTACTAAATGTAAGACGGAACTAATGAACAATACCTTGCTGATTTTACAAGTTTGTGTTATTTTAATTATAAAACATATAAATTGGTTGTAAAAAACAAACAATATAATGGTGTGTAAAGCAAATACTGAAATTTCCTTATGTACTCACTCATTTTTTTTTTTTGCACAAATAGGTTCACACTATATATACTGTTTTGCAGTTTGCTTTTTACTTAATCATGCCTCATTCTTGCCTTAACTTAAAGACCATTGCTTCTAAACATATGTGGATTTAGCAGAAACAGAAATTATGAATAAGATCATAGTGGTAAATAAACTTGCCTTTGTTCACCTTACTTTCTCCTTTAATTCAGTTGAATTCTTCAATTTCAATTATGGAAATAGCTGAAATAAAATTGAACTATTTCATAATTGAAATAGTTGAATTGAACTGTTTGAGTAGTTGAAATAATTGAAAATAGATCCTCTTCAAAACAGACATCTTATAAAGGAGAATAATTAGATTGTTTTTTCTTCAAATCTTCTCATATTTGTATTTCTGTTTTTTATTTGAATTTTGGTAATATATTCTTATTATATAATAGGCACAGGTTCAGTACCAACAGCAGCATGAACAACAGAAGAAAGATTTAGAAATGCTCCACCAGCGGAACATCCAGCAGTTGCAGAGCAGATTGTCTGAGTTGGAAGCAGCTAATAAAGACCTAACCGAAAGGAAGTATAAAGGAGACTCCACCATCAGAGAACTTAAAGCAAAACTATCTGGTGTTGAAGAGGTATTGAATGTGGGATTTGGTTTTTTCCCCCCAGTTTAAAAGAACCATTTTAATTTGGTAATTTGATTTTAATTTGATTGCTTTATTACTTGGATGGGTGGTGTTCCTCTGGGTGTTCTGCAAGAGCCTCTTACAGTGTTAGCACAATCAAGTCAGACAATGCAAAAAAAATTGAGAATCTAAAATCTGATGAAAAGGGCTAATTCAGAACTGAACTGAGGTAAACTTGGATGTTTTTAATTAGGGTTTTGAGGAACAGCTCATTGGCACAGCCCTCAGAGTTTTCAGTGTACCCTTAATATCAGCACAATGTCACAGCTCAGGGTACTCAGTGTTGACAGGGTTGGTTCTTTCTCTCAGCCTACTCAACATATCTAACAACTATATGAAGTTTAGTGTCTAGTAATAATAATAATGATAATAGTAATGATGATAGCTAATGCTTGCTGAGCACTTGCTATGTGATAGGCACTGTTTTAAGTGCTTTACATATAGTAATTCATTTAAGTCTTGTAACAGTTCTTTTAAAGTAGGTACTATTATTATCCCCATTTTACAGATGATGAAACTAAGAGACAGAAGTTAAGTAACTTGCCCAAAGTCATATAGCTAATAAGTGGAAGAGCGAGGATTGGAACCCTTTATTATTTGGCTGTCTTTAGTATTATCTAGTTCTTTCAGGCAACAGAGAAGTTTTAAAATTCTTGCTATAGTGGCACATTTGATGATGCTTTGGCATTGATGATAGAATCCTTCCTAGTATTATTATACATTATTGTTATATGAATTATCAGAAAACATATGTAGATTTTATTAAGTCTATCATATTTAGATACAAAGATCACCAGTGTTATTCTAGCTCACAGGACTTCCAACTCTCTTCACCAGTGTGTTATGAGACACTCTAAAGCATGACCAATTTTATGTTCCAATCTTGGTAGTGTTCTGTCCCAACAGTAGGTGTCTACAGTTCGTCCTCCCTGCCCTCTTCACCTTTCATGCCAGTTAGTAAAACATTTCAGTCTTCACAGTACATTGGTTCATTATAATGCTATATGATTTCTTCTATCTTAGCCCTGAAACTGGCCAGTGTGTAAACAGAGTGCTTCATTATGTTGACTTTTATATAATCAAGTGTATCTGATATCAAAGTCTGTGCTTCTAAAACCACTGTGGTATCATGCTATAAAATTATTTTATAAGGTTTTTGTTAAAAATGAAAATTATCTAGGAATACTATATATTAGGCTTTGTATACCAGCAACATTTGGGTTGGTATTAGATGATTGGGAAGTGATTTATTCTAGATTTTTAAAGAATCTATTTTTAATGAGCAATTATTTTTCGCTGTGTTTGTTTTAAAGAACAAACCAAAAGGAAATCCAGAAATGTTAATGTGTTTGTTGACATGGAAAGATATTTGTAATACCTGAAGAAGATAGATTATAAAACTACACACTATGAGCCCTTTTTAAAAAATAAATCTGTATATATAAGCAACAGAGAAAAATGTTATCTCTAGGTCATGGCTCTCACCCTTGGCTACTCTTAGAATCAGTTTGGGAGCTCTTTAAGGTACAAGTGCCCAGGCCCTAACGCACACTCTCTAAATCAGAATCTCTTGGGGGTGGTACCAGGCGTCAGTAGTTGTTAAGCTTCCCAGGTGATTTCAATATACAGACAAGATTGAGAACCACTGCTTAGATGGTAGAACGATAGAGTTTTTTATTTATTTTATGTATTTTGAAATTCTGTTACAGTGAGCATTTACTATCTAAGTGATTTTTTAAAACTGTGAATTTCAAGACATCAGAAAATTCTTACTAGTTTTTAAAAGTTATAGTAATTTATTTATAAATCAGGGTGTTTTATTTTCCCTTGTGGTTGAATTAGATCTTAGTGTTTTTTATTATTATATTACAAATCTACAATTTACATATACCTTTAGAGAGACCTTTATGTCTTTTAAAAATATATCAGTACTAGAACTTTAAAATTATTAAAGACATTTTTTATGTATTAAACGTCTTAATTATCGAGACCAGCCAATTTCCCTTTTTCGTAATGCATCATTTTTTTTTCTCTCTAGGAGCTTCAGCGGGCTAAGCAAGAAGTCCTCTCTTTGCGAAGAGAGAATTCTACACTAGATGCTGAATGCCATGAAAAAGAAAAGCATATTAATCAGCTACAAACAAAAGTGGCTGTTTTAGAACAAGAAATCAAGGATAAGGACCAGCTTGTTTTAAGAACAAAGGAAGCATTTGATACAATCCAGGAACAAAAGGTTTATTTTAAAATTTTGTAAACAAATTGATGATCACATTTACAAGTGATGTTTTTTTCCTAAACAGACACGAACATAATTATTCATGTTTTTTAAAATATGTATCAGGTGGCTTTAGAAGAAAATGGTGAGAAAAATCAGGTACAACTAGGAAAACTTGAAGCTACAATAAAATCATTATCTGCTGAACTTCTTAAGGTTTGTTTTTTTTTTTTTTGTATAATTCTAGATAGCTTTTATTTAATACTAGCACATATTTCTTTCCTCATCTTAAAACACATTTTTTTTTTTTATTAATGTTATGATAGATTACAACCTTGTGAGATTTCAGTTGTACATTTTTGTTAGTCATGTTGTGGGTACCCCACTTCCCCCTTTGTGCCCTCCCCCCACCCCCCCTTTTCCCTGGTAACCACCGATCAGATCTCCTTGTCAATACACTAACTTCCACCTATGAGTGGAGTCATATAGAGTTCATCTTTCTCTGACTGGCTTATTTCACTTAACATAATACCCTCGAGGTCCATCCACGTTGCTGCGAATGGGCCAATTTTGTCTTTTTTTATGGCTGAGTAGTATTCCATTGTGTATATATACCACATCTTTATCCAATCATCAGTTTCTGGGCATGTAGGTTGGTTTTTTAAAAATTTAATAGAATATTAATATTTCACTGGATTATGTAGAGATATACATATGAAGCTCTTTTATAGGCAAATGAAATTATCAAGAAATTACAAGGGGATCTGAAGACTTTAATGGGTAAATTGAAACTGAAGAATACAGTAACTATTCAGCAAGAGAAACTCCTGGCTGAGAAGGAAGAAAAATTACAAAAGGAACAAAAGGAATTACAAGATGTTGGACAGTCTCTCAGAATTAAAGAGCAAGAGGTATAATATTTTATATTTTTGCATGTGTGACTATTTGCAAAGTATAACAAATTTCCTCAGATGTCTTTTCAAAATTTCTGGTTTATCATATGACAGAATGGCTTTGGTTTTTTTTTTCTTCCGAAGAACATGACTAAATTCAACAGAAGTTAATAACATATTTCAGTTTGAACAAGTTATCATGGCTCAAATACCATGAGTGTTCACGTATATATATATATATGTGTGTATGTATATAAAATAAATATTTTATCACATAGGTGAGCTAATTCCTTTATTCTTTAATAATAATTAATAGTAATTATTTAATAGTAATATATTTCTTCAGTTTTTGTTTTGGCCTTTATTATACTTATTATGAGGATTGTCATATTTCAGATATGCAAATTACAAGAACAGTTAGAAGCCACGGTTCAAAAACTTGAAGAAAGCAAACACCTTCTAAAAAATAATGAAAAGTGTAAGTATTTTACCTTTTTATGTAAATGAAGTTTGTAGTTTTGTTCTTAACCTGAAAATTTTATTTGAATTCATAAAAGTCTAGGTAAATCAAGATAGTGCTATATACAAATAATTTCTGGTTTAATTATTCTGACTTAATGTCTTTGCTATAGTGAATTATATCATCTGCCCTGTAAAATAGCAGCATTATAAAGAAAACCATATCACATATCAATAAGCCAAAATTAAAAGTGCTGTAAATATTGACTATAATTTACTGTTTAAATTCATCACTTCTTTTTCTAATTGCTGTGTTTACCTAGGAGCAATAATATGAATTATTTGAAACTGAAATATAAGATTAAGCTTTTAACATTTTCTCAGTTTCTAGTATTGGTCATCAGACGTAAGAGTGTGAACTTTAAATAAACTGTAAGGTATCTATCATTCTAGAAATGAAAGCTTTCAAAGAGTTCTTTGACTAGCCGAAATATATGCTTCTGAAACTGATAGAATAAGGAGTCCTATGAGGCAGTTGCTACAATAATAAGCTTAAGTTATAAAAATTTAGGTAAACCTATATTGTTCCCTTGTGATATAAGATACTTTTAAAACCTTTAAAATTTAAAAAATCTCAATATAATTTTTAAATGTTTACAATTATTAGGAAAATAAAAATAGTCAAATAAAATTCTTTACCTTGTTTCTTGTTCTTTTATTTAAGTAATCACGTGGTTAAATAAAGAACTAAATGAAAATCAGCTAGTGAGAAAGCAAGATGTATTGGGACCTTCTGCCACTCCACCCGTACATTCTAGTAGCAACACAATCAGAAGTGGAATTTCTCCTAACTCTAATGTGGTAAGATTTAAATTAAGTTGTGAGTTATCTTAGTAAATTTCCTAAAACAAAAATATTCCCAGATTGTTAGGAAGTCTCCATGGCTTAAGGTGTTGGTACTAATACAACTGGAGTCCTACAGTTATTAGCACTGAAGTAGAGTTTAAGTTGCACTTGAAAGTGGGATATATAGGTATACTTGCTCTTAACAAAGAGGCTGTATTTAAGGGCTCACTTCTTTATAAGATTTTAATGGATATAGAAATCATTCAGTATTAACTAAAGTAGTGCTGAATGTGCTGAAAAACTTTAACACTCACAAAGTGTTTAGGAGGCGTCAAGAAGGAAGAAAGGGGTTTGGCTCAAGTTTGGAGCTAGGATGGAAGGGGCCTAAACTGAATTCTGTTAGAAAAAGGGAAAAAACAGAAAGAAAAGCCCTTAGCAGGCTTGTCAGCTCTAGATTCTAGAAGAAAGTAGTTATGAGATATAAGCTTTCCAGCTCTCAGGACAAGATCTCTTGCTTTTTCCTTGCAAGAAATAAGAGGGGAGAGAAAGAAAAGCAGCTCCTTACATCTGGGAGCTGGCTTGGTACTATCACTTAGGCCTAGGTGTCACTGGGAGCTGGCCTAGCACTCACAGTTAGGCCTTGGGGGCTCTCCTGTTGAACATAAACAATTTCACAGAATATCAGCATCAGTCAAGGCCACTCTATGACTGTGATGAATCAAGACAAAAACAAGACCACTCTGTAATCATGTCTGAATGCAACAAAAAAATATGAACATTGCCGGAGGACAAAAATGGGCAAGCATCCTCCTGTCCTGGCTAATGTGAGTGACTGGTGCTACATTAGCAGTTACTGCTTTGGCCTTAATACATTCCTCCTGCCTCATTAGATAAGATTTATTCAGATACCCAGTTGTACCATTATCCCCATTTCCTGATAGCATCTGATCCACAGCAAAGCCCCACTTTCTTAAACTGTCCCTCAAAGCACCTAACATGTGCCTAAGTCCACTGAATAAGTCCATTTTAACACCCTCTTCCTGAGACACCCGTCTTATTAGGTTCCTCATGGTGTGCAGTCTCCCTTGTTGTAAGGAGCAGTAAACCCAATGTATACACCTATAGATATGTTTCTGGTAGTCTTTGGCTGGAAGGCATTGGCAGAGGATTTAAAATGGCAGGTGCCTAATTGAATTTTTTATTTACTCTAGTAAATCAGTACATGATGTTTAAAGAAGGGAAAAGATTTCTGCTAGATTGGGAATAGGTACAGAAAGAAGTGCCCGTACTAAATTTCAAACTTGAAAGAACTTGACAGGCTTAACCTTAATGACTGATGGTAAATAGCTGGGTGAAAGATATTTTTATCAAGCAGCCATTGATGTACACAGTTGCTTTTTTAAGATTTGTGTTTCAATTGTCCTGTTATAAAAATAAACTGGTTTTGCGACGTTGGTTAATGGTGGTATCACTATGTTGAGAATTAGTAGCAAAGCAAATTATTGTCTCAAGTGGTCCATTTAAGAACACAGATCTTGATCTTAACTCAGTCTGGCAGAAAATTATTTTTATTTCTAAAATCCCTGATTGGCCTATTGATCTATGACTCCCTTCCCTATCCCCCCCTTTTTAGGAATGGGAAGCCTCGAGGGAACCAACATGGTCCGGGGGTCTTTGTTTTAACTCATCTCAAAGGCAGGTCCAGTGGTTTGTTTTGTCTGAGCTTACACAGCCACATTGAAAAGCCCTGTGGGCCAAAGGTACCCCAGCCTCATGCTGTATAATAAAGCAGGGTTTTGTGGTGTTAGGATAAATAAAATTGGTCTCAGAAATAGTGCTCTTAACTATTAGTTATAACAGATGCTAACGGCTCCTGGATCAGCATATACTATTTAGAACTAATTTCTCATCCTTAACCTTTTTCATGTTTTTGGTTTTAGGTTGATGGTAGACTGACTTACCCATCTTGTGGGATGGGTTATCCTGTCTCCTCTGCATTTGCATTCCAGAATACCTTTCCTCATCCTATATCTGCCAAAAATACCATCCACCCAGTTTCAGGACCAAAGGTAGCCAAATTAATACTTTTATTGAAAAATATAGCAACTTATTAACATACACATATTTTTCAATTTTTAAAAATTTATTCATTGAGCAATTGGTAAGTATTAGATAATGTACAAGATGAATATATTACTAAATATCTAGTATATACGTTTATAGTAAGTATTATATGCACTGTATGATATTTCTTGAGTCACTGTAATTTATAAAAACCTGGACATCATTGTGCTTAAACTTTATTTATTCCTATTCAGTGTCTCCATTTTTTTGTTAATTTTTATTGAGTTTATAATAGTTTATAATCTTGTGAAATTTCAGTTGTACATTACTGTTTGTCAGTCATGTTGTAAGTACACCCCTTCACCCTTTGTGCCCACCCCCGACCCCCGCTTTCCTCTGGTAGCCACTAATCTGTTCTCTTTGTCTACATGTTTAAAATTCCTTATATGAGCAGAGTCATACAGAGGTTGTCCTTCTCTATCTGGCTTATTTCACTTAACAGTTCCCTCAAGGTCCATCCATGTTGTTGTGAATGGGACAATTTTATTCTTTTTTATGGCTGAGTAGTATTCCATTGTATATATATACCATATCTTCTTTATCCAGTCATCAGTTGATGGGCACCAAGGTTGCTTCCATGTCTCGGCTATTGTAAATAATGCTGCAATGAACATAGGGGTGCATGGGACTTTTGGAATTGCTGACTTCAAGCTCTTTGGATAGATACCCAGTAGGGGGGTAGCTGGGTCATATGGTATTTCTATTTTTACTTTTTTGAGAAATCTCCATAGTGGCTGTACCAGTTTGCATTCCCACCAGGAGTGTATGAGGGATCCTTTTTCTCCACAGCCTCTCCAACATTTGTTACATTTGTTTTGGATATTTTTGCCATTCTAATGGGTGTAAGGTGATATCTTAGTGTAGTTTTGATTTCCATTTCCCTGATGATCAGTGATGATGAACATCTTTTCATGTGCCTGTTGGCCATCCGTATATCTTCTTTGGAGAAATGTCTGTTCATGTTTCCTGCCAATTTTTTGATCTGGTTGTTTGAGTTTTTGTTGTTGAGTTATGTGAGTTCTTTATATATTATGGAAATTAACCCTTTGTCGGATGTATGACTTGCAAATATTTTTTCCCAATTAGTGGGTTGTTTTTTTTGTCTCAATCCTGTTTTCCCTTGCCTTGAAGACGCTCTTTAGTCTGGTGAAGTCCCATTTGTTTATTCTTTCTATTGTTTCCCTTCTCTGAGAAGACATGGCGTCCGACAAGATCCTTTTAATACTGATGTCAAAGAGTGTACTGCCTATATTTTCTTCTAGAAGCCTTATGGTTTCAGGTCTTACCTTTAGGTCTTTGATCCATTTTGAGTTTATTTTTGTGAATGGTGAAAAAGAATGGTCAATTTTCATTCTTTTATATGTGGCTTTCGAGTTTTCCCAGCACCATTTGTTGAAAAGACTTTCTTTTCTCCATTGTATGCCCTCAGCTCCTTTGTTGAAGATTAGCTGTCCATAGATGTGTGATTTTATTTCTGGGCTTTCAATTCTGTTCCATTGATCTGTTCACCTGTTTTTGTACCAATACCATGCTGTTTTGATTACTGTAGCTTTGTAGATTGTGGTGGCTCCAGCTTTGTTCTTTTTTCTCAGAATTGCTTTAGCAATTCGGGGTCGTTTGTTGCCCCACATGAATTTTAGGATTCTTTGTTGTATTTCTGTAAAGAATGTCATTGGGATTCTCATTGAGATTGCATTGAATCTGTAGATTGCTTTAGGTAGTATGGACATTTTAACTATGTTTATTCTTCCAATCCATGTACATGGAATGTCTTTCCATCTCTTTATGTTGTCATCCATTTCTTTCAGGAAAGCCTTGTAGTTTTCGTTGTATAGGTCTTTCACTTCCTTAGTTAAATTCACCCCGAGGTATTTTATTCTTTTTGTTGTGATTGTGAATGGTATTGTGTTCTTGAGTTCTTTTTCTGTTAGTTCGTTATTAGAGTATAGAAATGCTACTGAGTTATGTAAGTTGATTTTGTACCCTGCAGCTTTGCTGTAGTTGTTGATTATTTTTAGAAGTTTTCCAATGGATTCTTCGGGGTTTTCTATATATAAGATCATGTCGTCTGCAAACAGCGAGAGTTTAACTTCTTCCCTCCCTATTTGGATTCCTTTTATTCCTTTCTCTTGCCTAATTGCTCTGGCCAAAACCTCCAGTACTATGTTGAATAAGAGTGGTGATAGAGGGCATCCTTGTCTCATTCCTGTTTTCGGAAGGATGGTGCTAATTTTTTGCTCATTGAGTATGATGTTGGCTGTGAGTTTGTCACGTATGGCCTTTCTTATGTTGAGGTAATTTCCTTCTAGCCCCATTTTGTTCAGAGTTTTTATCATAAATGGCTGTTGGATCTTGTCAAATGCTTTTTCTGCATCTATTGAGATGATCATGTGGTTTTTATTCCTCAGTTTGCTGATGTGGTGTATCACGTTGATTGATTTGTGGATGTTGAACCATCCTTGTGTCCCTGGTATGAATCCCTCTTGATCATGATGTATGATCCTTTTGCTGTATTGCCCAATTCGAGTTGCCAAAATTTTGTTGGGAATTTTTGCATCTATGTTCATCAGCAATGTTGGCCTTTAGTTTTCTTTTTTTGTGCTGTCCTTGTCAGGGTTTGGTATCAGCGTGATGTTGGCCTTGTTGAATGGGTTAGGAGGTGTCCCATCCTCCCTAATTTTTTTGAACAGCTTGAAAAGTATAGGTGTTAAATCCTCTTTGAAAGTTTGGTAGAATTCCCCAGGAAAGCTGTCTGGTCCTGGAGTTTTATTCTTTGGGATGGTTTTGATTGCTGTTTCAATCTCTTTCCTTGTGATTGGTCTATTCAGATTGTCTGCTTCTTCTTGACTTAGCTTTGGGAGATTGTAAGAGTCTAAGAATTTATCCTTTTCCTCTAGGTTATCCATTTTGGTGGCATATAGTTTTTCATAGTACTCTCTTTATAATCCAACGTATTTCTGCGGAGTCTGTTATGTCTCCTCTTTCATTTCTGATTTTGTTTATTTGAGCTTTCTCTCTTTTTTTCTTTGTAAGTCTGGCTAGGGGTTTGTCACTTTTATTTATCTTCTCAACGAACCAGCTTTTTGTTTCATTGATCCTTTCTACTGCCTTTTTTGTTTCAAAAGCATTTGTTTCTGCTCTGATTTTTATTATTTCTCTCCTAGTGCTGACTTTGGGCTTTGTTCTTCTTTCTGTAATTCAGTTAGGTATAATTTGAGATTGCTTATTTGGGATTTTTCTTGTTTCTTAAGGTTGCCTGGAGTGCGATAAATTTCCCTCTTAATACAGCTTTTTCTGTATTCCATATGAGTTGGTATGGCATGTTATCATTGTCATTTGTCTCCAGATTTTTTTTATTTCTTCAATTTCTTCAATGATCCATTGCTTGTTCAATAGCATATTGGTTAGTCTCCACATCTTTGTCCCTTTCAGAGCTTTTTTCTTGTAATTACTTTCTAGCTTTATAGCATTATGATCAGAGAAGATGCTTGTTACTATATCAATTTTTTTGAATTTATAGAGGCTTGCCTTGTTTCCCAACACATGGTCTATCCTTGAGAATGTCCCGTGGGCACTTGAGAAGAATGTGTATTCTGCTGTTTTTGGATGGAGTGTTCTATATATGTATATTAAGTCCAACTGTTTTAGCTTTTCGTTTAATTCCACTGTTTCCTTGTTGATTTTCTGTCTGGGTGATCTGTCCAGTGATGTGAGTGGGGTGTTGAGGTCCCCTACTATTGTGTTACTTTTGATGTCTTCTTTTAGGTTTGTTAATAGTTGCTTTATGAACTTTGGTGGTCCTGTGTTGGGTGCATAGATATTTATAAGGGTTATTTCTTCTTGATGTAGTGTCCCTTTGATCATTATATACTGCCCCTCTATGTCTCTCTTTACCTGCCTTATCTTGAAATCTACTTTGTCTGATGTAAGTATTGCAACACCTGCTTTCTTTTGTTTGCCATTAGCTTGGAGTATCGTCTTCCACCCCTTCACTCTGAGCCTGTATTTATCATTGGAGCTCAGATGTGTTTCCTTGAGGCAACAGATTGTTGGATCTTGTTCTTTAATCCATCTTGCCACTCTGTGTCTTTTTATTGGAGAGTTCAATCCGTTTACATTGAGGGTGATTCTTGATGCATGAGGGCTTAATGCTGTCATTTTGTCACTTGTTTTCTGGTTTTCCTGTGTTTCCTTTGTTTCTCATCCTGTGTGTTTTGGCCTACCCGTTGACTGCTGCAGTTTCTTATGCTGGGTTTCTTTGCTTTTTCCTTATTTATTTTTTGTGCCTCTCTTCTGTTTTGTAGTTTAGTGGCTACCCTGAAGTTTGTATTCAGAATCTCATGCATAACATAGTCCATTTTCTAGTGGCCTCTTATTTCCTTAGCCTAAACTGATTCAGTCCCTTTCCTCCTCCTCTCGTAGGTTATTATTGTCATCTCTTATTCCAACTTGTGATGTGAGTTTGTGGTTAAAGTGACAAGATTGTCTTTGTTTTTGGTGTTTTCCTTCCCTTTAGCCTAATGCTATAGTTGAATATTTGCTATCCTTTTCTGATTCTATCTATTTGTCTCCTTACTCTGTGTTTTGTGACCCCTTTCTCCCTGTTTTTCTTTTTCCAGGTCTGAGGGCCTTCTTGAGGATTTCTTGTAGGGGGTGTCTCCTGGCTACAAAGTCCCTTAGCTTTTGTTTGTTTGGGAAAGATTTAACTTCTCCCTCATATCTGAATGATATTTTTGCTGGATAGAGTATTCTTGGCTGAAGATTTTTATCCTTCAAAGTTTTGAATATGTCATTCCAATCTCTCCTAGCTACTAAGGTTTCTGCAGAGAAGTCTGCTGAAGGTCTGATAGGGGTTCCTTTGTAGGTTATTCTCTCCTGCCTTGCTGCCCTGAGTATTCTTTCTTTGTCATTCAGTTTTGCCAGTTTTACTACTATATGCCTTGCA